TCAGGTCTCAGGCTCAACATAGACGAAGCAAGAGAAGTAACGCTCATGAGTCCGCTTTGCCTGCTTTGAACTCAGGGGAATGGGGCTTGGAAAGTTCCTGGGCCCCGACGCGGACACCGCCGCCGCCGCCGAGCAGATAGAGACGCGGCCGCCTTCGAGGAGAGGCCGCGCGGCGGCCCGTCTGCAGGGCCTCCGATGTCAGTCCGCCCCACTGCGGGCAGGACTCGCTTCCCGGGGGCCTGGCTGCGTCCTGCGCTGGCTGCTGGTTGGCGCTCCCCGACAGGGGCTCTCTGCCTTCCGCCCTGCCCCACGGGGACCCTCTGGGACGCGGGGAGGGAAACCCGGCGGCGACGGAGGGAGCCCTGGCCAAGTGTCCAGTCCGACGAGCCTGAGGGGTCGGGGGTGAAAGCCTAGGACCCGGCGGGCCGAGCGCCCCGACGGCGGGTGTGTGTGGGAGCCGCCGCGGGGACTTCACCGGGCGGGTCACGGTGGTAACACGGTGACGACAATGAATGTGTCTGTGCGCCTCCCGCCGGTGCGGGTCTGCGTGCCGTGTCCGCGGGTGCGCGCGGCTGGCGGAGGAGGCGCCCTCCTGGGTCCGGGCTGCGGCTGTCTGGGCAGGTGTTGTCATCCACGTGTCCTCTGCCGGCCCATCCACAGGCGCCGCTCGGAAGGAGGGGTTCCGCTACTGATTCCATTTCTTAACAATGCATCCACGGTACGAATAATTTCGTGAAACGACATCTTGAGGCGTGGGTCCCGGACTGGCAGTGTTTCTGCATAGCTCCTTGGGCCTGTGCTCTGCCTTCTGAGGGCTCTGCCCGAGCCGCGGGCCATGGCGACACAAGTCCCCTCCCTCCCCTCCCTAGACCATCGAGAACATCAAGGTGGGCCTGCATGAGAAGGAGCTTTGGAAGAAGTTCCACGAGGCGGGCACGGAGATGATCATCACCAAGGCGGGCAGGTCAGCTCTGGGAAATGGACTCTGGGGGAGGGGATGATGGATAGAGCAATGGGTATCCCCCAGGGCACCCTAGCAGCCTTCGGGGTCTCCAGCCTGGGCAGGGGGAAAGGAGGGGAACGACGCGAGTTCCCCCCACCGCTCTGGCCTTAGCCCCAAGTCCGGAGAGTACTTCCCACCCCACCCGCCAGGGAGCGCGGGAGGAGGGGGCAGCACTATGTAAATGACTGTAAATAAGGTCGCTGCTCTGGGACTGGGTCTGGCTCCAGCAGTTTTGGCCCCCTGGGCAGCTGCTTTGTCCTCCTTTTGGGGATCTGCAGGGTTTTGCAGGATTGCATTGATGGGGCACCTGGAGTTGCCCCCATGGGGGAAGGGGAAGGGACCATGTTTTCCTATTTCCATACGTTATGGGGGCAGCACGAACCCCAAGTCTCTCATCCCACGGGTGCGGCTTTCCAGTGCCAGCCCCCTCCTTGGCCAGGGGGAGGCACATTGGGCCCTGTGTGTGTGTTGTTTGAGGAGCAGCTCTCAGTGGCTGCCAGAGAGGGATGATTTATAAAGTGGAAACATCTTTAAAATGTGCTGGTGTCTGTGGGAGAGGACTGGGAGGAGAGGGTGAGAGGAGGAAGATGCAGATGGGCTTGACGGAGAGATTGGCTGGGGCAGCGTCTGGGTGGGGCAGCGGTGGAGAGCAAGAGAGTGGTTCCCAGGTGAAGGGAGATGGTGGTAGACAGAAATGCTGGAAAGTTCAGGTTCAGGAAATACCCCCCCCCCCACTCCTCCACATACTCACACTTGATTGTGATCGCTGGGGGACAGGTTAGGTGTGAAGCTGTCCCTTGGCCTGGCTGTGGGCCCATAACTGGGTTTTCTGAAGACTAAGATGGTGAAGTGTCAGGGCCAGGAATCTGGAGTCAGACAGCAGGGGCTTCAGTTGCAGCTCAGCTACTTCCATCTGGGCAACCCTCAGGCAAGGGTCTCTGCCCCTCCTCATCTCCAGCTGTAAAATAATAGGTGTGTCTCCATACAGTTGTATGTAAAACTCAGCACACCTCCTGCACATGTAAGCACACAATAAATGCTAGCTATAACATTAATGTAACAAATGCTAATAATGTGAACCACAGTTAAGAGAAATGTCTGGTATCCACTCAGCATTTCCCCCCTACTTTTGGAGAACGCTGTTGAACTGCTTAGGCTCTTCAAAGGAAACAAAAGGCGGTGGTTTGCAGCGTAGGGGTGCTGGCTGGCCTTGTGAGGTTTCCTTTGTTTTGTTGGGGGTGGGGGTCATGCTTAAGTCAGGGAGGTGGCCTGGCCACTCGGGGTCTCTATCAGGAGAGGGAGCAGTTAGATGTCAGGGCCTGAGTTTGCTGCATTTGGGGGATGGGGAAGGAGGATGCATTAGGGGAGCCTGGCTGAGGGTTCCACATGGAGTGGTCATTGAGGTCAGTGTGGGGTGGGGGCAGGTGTCACAAGCCCTGTCTTTTCCTAGCTGAGTGCGCTTGGGCAAAGCCTGAACTTCCCGTGGCTCAGTGGTGCTAGGCAAAACAGAGGTGGTGACTGCAGATCTATGGTAGTGTGAGACTCAAACCAGGGATCGTGTGGGCGGTGCATGGTCAGTTATTGAGTGGATTACAGGTGTGAAGAGGGGGGAATTTAGTTCTTGCGACGGCTGTGATGGACAGAAGGAAAGAAGACAGAGAAAGATTCAGAACTTCCATTTTTAGGCAGCAGAAATAACCTTGTCTCTAGAAAATAAATGGCCAGCGGGTTCTTTGGGCATGCCTGGCCTCTGCCATTTTCAACAAAAGGCATTTGTGATTTTTCTCAGTGGGGTTTCCTGCATCTGCTTGGGTCCTCCCCCTCCCCCCACAACACACACACACACACACACACAGACACACACACACACACACACACTTTCAGAGGTGACTGGCTTTAGGCAAAGTTTTGTGCCTGATTCTAGTGGAGGCTTAGAGATGGGCCACAGGGACTGATGATATAATTTTAAAAATGGTTGTGATGATGTTGGCCAATTATGGATTCATCACAGTCTTTCCTTTCTCTGGCAGACAGTTATCCTTGCACCAGGTCTAGTCCTGAAGAAAGCCACTGGCCTTCCCCTCCCCCAGAGTTCTCACAGGCTCTTTTCCTCCTGCATAGCTGCCCACTGACCTCAGAGGCCACTTTCACTGCTCTGATCCCTGCTCCCCCCCCCATGTCTGTCCCCCGCCCCCCCCCCCATGCCTCCCTCCCACGGGCAGCCTCAGGAGGCAGCTTGCTTTGCTTGGGCTTGTGGCTCTTCAACCTCCTGTCCGGTGCCTCTCCCTCTTCTTTGTGTCTCTATCAACATTTCCATTTCTCAGCAGATGACCTGGACCCTTCTCCTAAACCTCGACTCATAGAGTCCTAGACTGTTAGAGTTGGACATCAACCCGACCCCGGAGAAAGAAAGGCACTTGGCTCTTGTAGATAGAAGCAGAGTTAGGCGGTTACCAGGTCTCCACAAGTCAAGCACATAGTACCCACCCCAACTTTGAGAAACTTCCTTGATTGCTTATTTACGGGGCCAGTTCAATGTTTTGAACGGGGGCTGTTGCTCTGTCCTAGAGAGCCTGGCTGGTTAGGGGCAGGGTAATTGCTGACTGGTTGATGGAAGGGTGGGTCCTGGAGAAGAGGGAACAGCATGTTCTCAAGTCAGTTTGAGTCCTTGAGTCACAAGCCTCTCTCCCCTCTGCCTTTGAAGGTCTGAAGCCACAGGAGTGAGTTTGAATTCTCGAACAATTGAACCTGGTGAATAAGGTGCCAACCACAGGGTGACACATCAGTTTCTGATTTCTGAATGCTCCGGCATAAGATGTGGCCAGACCCCTCCCCAGCCAGTCTCTGACCCTCCCAGGCCCCACAACCCGAAGGTTCATGCTGTGGACTGCAGCGAGCAGACCCCTTTCTCTGCCTCCCTACATCCCTGCCAAGCTTGACACATGTGAGAAACTGCATTTTTCTCCCAAACACAGATAAAAGTGAGCTCCACAGAAATTTAAATATAAACCTCCCCAAAATGAAAATGTCCTAACCGTCTGACGGCGCTGCTCCTAGGTCACGGTTGTGCCACCAGATAAATCTCCACTATCAGCCTTCAGAGCCTGTTGAGTTCAATGTTGCTTGTGTTAGTGACAGTGAATTTGCGTTTGAAAAATGAACTACCGATGAGAACTCCTGTTGAACCTGTATTGTTTGTTATTCTGAGGCAAGGATTTGGCCTGGCTTAATCCGGGGCTTCAAAGCCAATTGCCCTCGCTCTGTATACACAGCGTCAGAGCTCAGTGGCGTGGGTGATAAGAGAAGTAAGGGTTGAAGACACTGGGAAAGTGGACTGGGGAGAGAGTGCTTTGATCTCTTTTTAAAGTATTTTCTGAAAGCAAAAGTCTATCAGAAGGAAATGTCTTTTAAAAAAAGAATCTAAGAGAAGCAACTGACCTTCCCAAACAGCATCCATTCCACACACCCTCACCCCTGCCCCCACCTCAGGGAAAATATTTCTTAAAAATGCTCTGAGTGAATTAGAAAACTGTGTGTGTGTGTGTGTGTGTGTGTGTGTGTGTGTAAAGTGGAAATAAATTACGTAGCTGTGTTATTGCTCTCAGAAATCATTTGGCTACAAAAGATTTGGCCCCATAACAGCCCCCAAACTCAGCCTTGGTTGCTGGGCCCTGGCCTCTTCCCAGCATATCCCGAATTCTTCCTGAAGATCCCCAGAAACTAGGGATAGAAAGACTGGTGCGGTCTTCTCTGGACCCCCGACCTTTTTTCCTGCAGCCTGTTCCTTTCAGAATCTGCGCTCCAGGTCTCTCTGTGTGTGCGTGTGTGCGTAAATTTTAATGTCAATTTTATTGAAGTGGAACATTCCTGCAGAAAAGTGAGCAATTCTTAATTGTGCAGCTCTATAGACTTGCACAGAGTGAGCACACCCGTGTAGCCACCACCCAGATAAAGAAACAACACTCCCAGCCCCCAGAATCCCTCCTGTGCCTGCAGTCGCCACCTCTCCCGCCCCCTGGGACTCTCTCTCCACACGTCTCACCCCTCCGATTTGGTTTTGCACCTACATTTAAAGGACAGCACCTAGAGCTGCTCCTGGGGTCCCTGTTGTCCTCCCCCCACCCCCAGGAAGTCGGAGCTGCGGCGGGTGGAGGCTTGGAGACCCGCTGGGTGGGGAGAATTGGTGGGTCCCTTGGTCGCTATTCCCCGTCCCCCTTGCGGGCTTGGCGGGGCGGGTGGGCCAGTGCTTTGAATTGGCGGCGCTCTGAGCCCAGCTGTAACTTGCGTGTTCCCGCTCAGCAGTGAGTTTGCACTTAAGGATTTGTTGCCAAAATCAAAATGCCCTCAAACCGTTTCTCCGCGCCCGTCCAAGGAAGCTTATCTTAGCAGTTCATTCTAAAGCCATTTCCGAGTATGAAGCAGATAAAGGCTCAGCCCCGCACCCTTTCAGAGCCTGTTTCTTGATCAGAGGAGGAGCCCGGCTTTCATCTCCTCCCCAGGCCGGCGGGGCGGGCGGCTTGTTTATTCCCCGGCGGAGCTGTTTCCGCGCGCGCTGGGAGCGCTGCTCCCGCGGGGTCCGGGAGCCCGACGGGGGCGGCAAACTAGGAGGGAGCGGGGAGGGCGCCTGGGCAGAGGGAAGGCTCGCGGGCCGTGCAGAGGGTGCGGAGGGGCGGGGAGAGGATGGAGGACGGGAGGGCTGACGGCGCGAGGAGAGGATGGGGAGACGGCTGGCGGGGCGCCGGGAGAGGAGCGACGAGAGGGCAGGGAGAGGGCTAGTGGGGCGCGGGGAAAGGAGGGAGAGAGGGCTGGCGGAGCGCGGGGCTGCGGGGGGCAGGGCGCAAGGTGTCTGGGACCAGCGAGCCAGGTCTTGACATCCAGCGCTGGTGGCGGGGCTGCGTGGGATGCAGGCTGCCCGGTCATTACCTCCCTTCGTGGCCCCTCCCTCCCCTTCCCACTGAGGTGTTCATTTCCGACATAGGCGTCAGTTTCAGGTACATTTTATGTCCCAAATCACAGAAACACTATCACGCCATCTGCTCATGGGTTTCAGTGGGGCGACCTTTGCAGTGCAGGGTGAGCCCAGAGGAAAGTCGGGCTCCCAAGCCCGGCCTGGCCTCGGTGGTTTGAGTGATGCCCACCTGCGGACCCTCCCATGCCCAGCCTCTGGGCTCCAACTTCAGCCGCTTCTGGAGCCAGGGCAGGTGCCCTCAGCGTGGGCAGAGCCTATGGAGGGGGGAGGAGGGGAGTATGCCTCACGTCACACTCAGCTTTTCCCCACACAGGGCAGCCTCCCTCCTGCTAGAGCCCCCTAGAGGGGATGTGGCTGTGCCTGGGGTTCCCCGAGTGTGTCCTCCGTGGCCCAGGGCCCTCATCACTGAACCCAACAGAGAGGAGATGTTTCCCTGAAGGAAGGGAGCTCGCGGAGGAGCCTTTGGAACTCCCCCTTCAGACCAGATGTCCCATCTCCCTCCCTGCTGCCTGAGAGAGGGGGCTTGGTGGGCAGGGGGGCAGAGGCTGTGACACCTTCACTCTGTCCTTGCCCCTCCTCCTGCAAAACCCCCTGCGAGTGAGCATCGTCAGGGATCTGGTCTGTAGTCAGTTTCTAGCAGAAGGCAAATCATGGGATGCAGGCTCCGGGCCTTGGAGGGCTCTTTGCTGGCCATCAGAAAAGCACGCCAGCCACCTGGCCCCTGCACTGCTGAGGTGGACACAGTGGGGAGCAGAAGGCGGAGGACAGGACCCCAGGCTATGAAGCCTGCAGAAGTGGCAGCGAGCCATAGTCTCCCAGCCCCCTTTGGCCTGGGGGAAGCCGTGCCAGCCCTCTGCTGTTGCCACTGGGGTGATAACGGGAGAAACAGGCCACGTGCAGGGCAGGGCACTGGTACCCAGCAGCCATGCACAGCCAGGGCTGCCCCATTTTGTGGCTGTTTCCATGGCAGTTATAAAATGGTGCCTGGAAAGGACAGGGTGTGTGCCCCCCTCCCCGGCCCAGGGAGGGGGAGCTGAGGCAGCTGCGGCCCCCCTCTCAGGTTTAGGCCCACCAGGGGAGAGGCTGGGCCAGGAAAGAGGGTGGTGCAGCTCCAGCTGTGCCCCCAGGCCAGGCAGGGGGGTGGTGAGCAGCAGGATTGGGTTCCTGAGCCCTCTCACTTCCCGGTCCAGGAGAGGGGGTGGGGTGGACATTTGAAAATGCTTTCAATTGACATCTGAGACAAATTCTTCCACACGGTTTATAAGTCCCTAGACTTGCAGCTAGAACTTCCCTCCTGCCTCCAGGCACGCACACATGCACGCATGCGCACTCCACCTCGCACGCCACCACATGCGCTGGTGCATCCACACGGTCACACACCAGCCTTCCCCCGCCTCTCCTCCAGCAAGAGGGGCACAGACCTGGCTGGGCTGGGAGTGGAGTGGAAGCCTGCACCTCAGGGCCTGACCTGGGCTTGCTGTAGGGTCTGGCAGCGTATGGAAGCCTTGCCCTGTCCAGGTAAGCAGGTACCCCTGTTGATAAACTGGAGGACTCCAATAATCTGAGGTGCCCAGGACAGCTTCTCTTGAGGGCCCCTGACTATCTCTCAGCTTAGTGAGAGGCAGAGGACCACCCGATGGCTTTCCTGGAGTGGGCGGGTCGGGCTCAGGGGACTTGGCCCTTCATGTCTTCATTTAGGTTTGGGTCCTGCCTCTCTCAGGGGACACTTTTGTGAGAGGCCATCTAGGAGGGATGGGGTGTCTGAGGACAACTGTCTGCCCCTCTGGGAAAGGCCAGTGTCAGGGACCTGGTGACCGGGGAGGGAGGTGTGCCCTGCAGGTATGTGTGCATGCTGTTGTATGTGTCTATGTGCTGAGGGGCCTGGGGAAGCTCTTCTCTAGAATGTTCTCTGAGCCTCAGGGTCCTGGAAAGCCTCAGCATGGGCTACAGGGACTGGACAACTTCTTTTGATGAATCTATTTTCTTAGAGGTAGGTCATCCCACAGGTTTGTGGAGAGAGCAGCTCAGTGGGGTCCATGGTAGTTGTGGTGCATGGATTCATTTAATCCACACAGCAACCTATGAGATTTGTAGTAATATCCGCATCTTAGAGATAAGGAAGCCAAGGCACAGAGAGAGCCGAGCGAGCTGTCCAAGGCCTCCCACTTGTGATGGTGGGGGTGGGGGTGGGGAGCAGGCTGTGAATCATGCAGAGTGGCTCTGGAATCCATGCTCTTCTCCCGCGGCTCCTGGGCTGACCTCCCAGGCACCCAGTTCATTGGGCAGGCCCAGCCCAAGCGTTCATCTCTGCTAAACACCGAAGGACTCCGAAGGCCTAGCAGAATCTCCAGCTCTCCGGCAAGTTGGTTTGAGGCCTGAGGGTTTCCACAGAGACATGAGCAGGGAGCCATCTCATTGGTTAACGAAGCGGCTGACAGACTCCCAGGTCTGCTGCTCTCGCTCCCTGTAACGGCAGCCCAGAATTTTAGCTGTCCACGGACTGGTGAAGGACAGGAGGGAAATTAAGGCAGGCAGGTTGGTGTCGAAATCCTCTCTCAGGATCCTCTCTCAGAGCCTCTATGCTTTACCTGCTCACAGCTACTAGGCTAGAGGTGGGGGTTCAGTTTGGGAAACCATGTAAATAAACCCTCCTTCTAGACACACAGACTGACAGCTGCAGGGGCTCAGAGGGAGTGGCTAGTGCATCCCTCTCCTTGTGTAGGGGGAGGCTGAGGCCAGAGAGGGAAGTGACGTACACAGGGTCCCACAGCTCTGACCGATGCCAAGACCTCTTGCTATAGGGGCAGTGCCCCTTAAGGCCTTCTGCCCCCTTGCTCACTCTGTGCCCTCTCTCCTGGTGCTATGACCATGCCTCTGCCTTACCCTTTGGCTTCTCCCAGGAGGATGTTCCCCAGCTACAAGGTAAAGGTCACGGGCATGAACCCCAAGACCAAGTATATCCTGCTGATTGACATCGTCCCTGCAGATGACCACCGCTACAAGTTCTGTGACAACAAATGGTAAGAACTGGGACCCTCACATCACCTGCCTTCCCTCCACTGCTCTCTCCATTCATCACATCCATCGCCACCTGATGTTTGCTCCAGGGACTCACCAGTTAGTCTGAATGACTGCCCAGATCTGCAGCCCGGGGAGCGGAGTCTGCAGAGGCTGCAGGGTAGGCAGGTGTCTGAACACCTGCTGCAGGCGGGGCTGGGGCTGAACATGAGCTGCAGTGTTTGGTGGATTTCAGGGTCTGTGCTCTCCCCACAGCTGTGGACAAACAGGATTGCTGACTATGCTGTGGGGTGACAGGTGAACACCCACCAGGGTTGATTTAGGCCCTGGCATTGCTGCGTGGGGAGGAGGATGGGAGCCGTTTTCCGGTGGGGTCCAGCTGCCTGCTCTGTGGCATCTCTCTCCTGTTTCTCCACTCACTTCCTCTTTGCCTGGCTACATTGTGTGTCCCCCACCCAGAGTCAGTGGGTCCGGTGGTTGGATGATGGGACCCTTTGGCAAGGGGCTGGATTGAAGGGCAAAACCAGGCTGGGGCCGGGTAAACACTGGGCTCCATTTCCTGAGGCCACCTCCTTAGTGCCCTGTCTGCCCCTAGAGCCCAGGACAGCACTCAAGGAGAGTGAGGGAGAGAGCGAGGGATCGAATGAATCAGCGGCCTGGGATGTGGGCTCCCTGGTGGGTGGTTTGTGGGGCCCGCAGAGGCTGAGTGGATTGGGTGGCCAGTCCTGCCCAGGGGTATGCTTCTACTTCTCTCTCTGGGCTGTATTAGCACTCAGAGCTGGCTCTGGCTGAGGGGACCAAGACCAATTAATTTCTTTGGGGCAAGCATTGTTGTGGGGTCAAGAAATCTGAAAGTTGTCTGGGTCCTCTGAGAAGCTCCCTCCAAATAATGTAACTTATAACATTTTAAAATGGTCTGTATAACACAGAGAAGTGCTGCCTAAATTGCCCTATAATACACTTGTGCTTCGCCCCATTCCTTCTAGTAAACAATGACATTGCTCTGTAATGTCCCTTTCTCTTTCACGCTCTCTTCTGTGCTTCACTGCTACCCCCAAAGTCCTAAATTGTCAGTGTGATGGGACCAGCATTGATTTTTCCCTTCAGGTCTTTGAGGATTTGCTCTCAGAGAGGGGACAGGGTCTCTGGGCTTCCCAGACCCCAGGGTAATCCCCTGCTGTGGCCTGTTGCTCTGTTGGCAGGATGGTGGCAGGGAAGGCTGAGCCCGCCATGCCAGGAAGGCTCTATGTCCACCCGGATTCTCCGGCTACTGGGGCCCACTGGATGCGACAGCTGGTCTCCTTCCAGAAGCTGAAGCTGACAAACAACCACTTGGACCCCTTTGGCCATGTAAGAAGGGACCCCTGGCCCTGAGGGCGAGTCCTGGGCTGGCTGCAGATGGATGGGTGGGTGGGGACTGGGAGAATCCAGCTCCAGGCTTTGGCACTTGTTGGGCCAGCTTGTGGCAGGAGCCAAGGTCCCAGCCCCACAGTTGCACATCCTTCCCTAGTGCTTACTGGCTGGGTGACTTTGGGCGAGTTTCTTAGCCTTTTGGAGCCTTAGTTTCCTTGTCTAGAAAGGGAAGATGACCATGCACACTTTGCCTGGGCGTGAGAATTAAACAAGGGAATATGCATGAAGCACCTTACACCAAGGAGGCTCTAACTAAAAGGCAGCTGTGACGACAATGATGGCGATGATGGGTCTGATCGCCCAGCTTCGGTTTCCCCGGATTTGGCCTTGCTGGAGCATGAAACAGTCCACTTCCTTGAGAAAGAGTCACGATGAGTCCAAGCCTCTCTTTGGCGTGTCTGTCTGCTTGGCCTGGCAGCTGCCTGCCCTCTGGAAGGGGAGGCCTTGCTTTGGCTCCTGTCCACTCCTTCCTGGCCCTGCCTGGGACCTGGCTCTCGAAAGAGATTCTGAAGCCCTACGGATGCTGCTGTTGACGCCCCATCCAGGCTGCTAAAGCTTATTCTTTCGCCATCTGGCCCTGGCAGGCCCACAAAAAGCTTTTTATGTGGAAATTTTTAGCTCAAGTGCGTGGGGTAAACTAAAGTCTGGGGACCTGGTATTATGTGCCAGGGCACAGGCCCTACCCCTCTAGGCTACCCACGGTTACCCTGGGAGTGCAGGGTGGGGTGGGGTGATGCGGGTGCATGGAGGCTCCTAGATGCAGTCACTGGGCTGCCCACCTAGCGCTCAGGTGTGCAGGGTGGTGGGGGAAGCAGCGGTGGGGTGTGCAGGCAGGTACGTGCCTCTTTCATGCCTCAGTTCTATTTCTGGAGTCTGCGTGCAAATCAGAATTCTGTGAATCATAGTTCCCCATGGAAAATGCCAACATTGCTGCGTTTCCGATTGACCGGTATGTAACTAGCAAGCAGCTCTTAGCTCTGATTTTCTTAGAGTCTCTTCCATTCTTTTCTGAGTTGGTGATCCATAACAGGCAACTAGGAGAATGCTTAATTAACGTAATTGACTCCCAACTTATCTGTTTTGCAAGCAGCCCCATGCAGGGCCAGTAGGTGCTGTTGGGTGCATGGCAGAAACGTGCAGTGTGCACAGTGGCATGTGCTCATGCAGCCCCAACCTGTCGTGGTGGCAGAGACAAGCCAGCGATCCAATGGGAAAGGTCAGCCAAGCCCCCTCCCCCCCTCACAGGGCACAGGGCCTTGCAATTGAGGGGAGAGGGGCCTTCCAGGTCTTCCTGAGCTCCGTCCTGGCCAAGACTTTGTTCCCAGGCAGCTCCTCCCAGCCTCCTCTGCTTGGCCAGGCTGTGGCACCAACCTCAGAAGGATAGTGAGGGCTTCTGCGTGGGAGACGGAACCTAGCCAACATGCACGTCCCTGCCCACATCTGCACACACTGCAGACCCCAGGGACAGACCCCTGGGGTTCGCACAGAGCTTGGCAGGAGCTGAATCTTTGGGTGAGTGGCCAGGGGACCCAGGGATCAAAGCTCTGGTGAGAATTTTGGATGCATGGCTTGCCATGATGGTTCCCAGCTGTAGGGAAGCCTGAGAGGACTCTTCCACCTCTCCGACAACTCTGCAGAAAACGGCAGGGAGAGAGTCAGGTGGCCAAAAAGATGGGCTTTTTAAGAGTGGGAAACAGGTGTAGCCTTGCAAGCCCAGTAGTAGGTTTTCCCAGCCTGATGTGCCTCTTTGGTGGCTCTACCGAGGCCCCTAGGGGCTTGCACTAACCCTGCATATAGTCTTGTGTCTGGGCCAATGGGGCTGCTTGATGGGCTAGTGATGGGGGTGCCCCTGGCTACACTTTCCATGCCTGCCCCTTGGTGTTAGGGATGGTCCTCACACTAACTCGGCTTTCTCTCCAGAGGGTTGGGATGCAGCGCATCTTCCTTCTCCCCCATCCCCTACCCAGCACGTTCAATGTATTGGTTATGACACCCCCTGTGGGGGAGCGGGGCTCAGGAGATGCAGTGATTGTCTCAGGGGCTGGGAGCAGTGCTGGACCCTGCTTTCTGATTTCAGTTCAGTTCTCTCGGCTTCTCCACCCGTCTTTCTGTACCCAAGGCTGTCACATCTGCAGCTATTTGGAGCACCACTGGGGAGGGAGCAGGCTTTGGCCGTGCAGGAGAGGCGGTGGAGGACGGGTTAACTTCCTAGACATATCAGGGCCTGGACCTGGGCTCTCTGTTCCTTGGCCTGTGTCCATGGTAGTGATGAACTCTCCAAGTCACCCTTCTTGGCTTCTCAGTGCAGGAACCTGGGAAAGTGCCATCTCATACTGTGAACTTGCCCCAAACAAGTCCTTCCTTCTGCCTAACTCATCTCCAAATGTTCAGTTATTCCCAGGAGCTTCCAAACCTCAAGTACCGGTCTCCAGCCAAATGGACTTTGGACTTTTCTCACAGCACTTGAGGGACTTTATCTAGCTGCTGCCTCCCATTTGCAGCCTTCCACCAGGAGAAGGGTCCAGGGCTCAGGGGAGGACTGGGGTGGGCAGCTTGTCCTGCATGACAGGCAGGGGCTCCGGGACAAGGACCCCCTCAGACCACATGGCCATGTGCTCTGAAAAGACAGGACTGGGTTCTGACTTGAAAACTCCTTGTGGGTTTTTGCTGAGTCTGGGAAAGTCCTCTGTTCTCGAGGGGGTAGGTTCAGGGTATGACCCCTGGGTTGTGGAATAAAACCCAAGGCCACGGGCAGGGCCGGCAGCAGAGGCAGAAAGGATCAGGGGCTCGGGCAGGACTGAGCTGCCTCCATACAGCCCAGGTCACCTCCACTTCTGCTGGCTGTGCAGGCTGCTTCCCATCATGCCTTCCTACCTGCCACCCGACCCTGTGCCCATGGGCCAATGACTGTGGGTGGAAAGAGATGCTTCTGGAAGTTGAGGGCCTCACTGGGGTAGGGTCTGTTTCCCACGGCGGGGCGTGGAGATGACTGGCACATAAGTCTTACTTTTCTTGTCTCAAGTCTCCCGGATTCCTGAGGAGTCTGTTCCAGAGGCTGAGTTCATCCTGGGCTGGGGGTGTGGGCTGCAGCTCCTTGGCCACAAAGTAACATGGGCACAGTCCCCTCAATGTCCTTGGCCACAAAGTAACATGGGCACAGTCCCCTCAATGTGCTTCCTCCTCCTCCTCCTCCTCCTCCTCCTCCTCTGACCACAAGCCTCTCCACCTAGTTAGTCCCTCCCCAGCTTGGCATCCAAGCTCAAATGCCACTTCTTCAGGGAGACGGTTCAGGGTCTCCCTCATAGGCTTTCAGAACTTTGAGCACCTTTCTACCCTAGTACTTCCCACAGTTACAATTTTATACTCATTTGTCACATTTGTTTTTGAATAGGAAATACATTCACAGGTTTTAAAAATAAACCAATGAATAAACCAAAATGTCTTCTTCCATGGGGTCCCCATCCATCTAGTTTCTTCCAGTCCCAGCCACAGGTAACCAATGTTACTAATTCTTTTCACCATTTCTTTTTGCATAGACAAGCAGAATGCAGAATTTCAGATCCCTTCTTCTAGACACAAATGGTAGCATACTACAAACCCTTTTCTGCACCTTGCTTTGTCAACCTAGTATGTCATGGCGATGGTTCCATTCATCTAGAGCATCCTTATTCCTTTTTTCACAGCTGCATAGGATTTTATCCCATGATTGTTCCATAAATTATGTAGCCAGCCTTTATAGGACTCAGATGTTTTCCTATATTTTTGCTCTTTTGATTAAGCTTGTGCATATGGCATTGTATATCTGTGCCATAAAGTGCCTGTTCAAAGGGTATTTGGATTTGTCATTTGTAATTCTGCCCTCCATTGAGTTACACTGATGTATATTCCCGCCGTCACTGTAGCCTCACCAACACGGTGGGAGAGAAAGGGTTTGGGTTTTTGCCAGTCTGATGGGTGAAATGTAGATATCAATTTTAGTTTTAATTTGTATTTCCTTTATTATAAGTGCGGTTAAGTATTTTTTTTTATATGTATTTCCTCTTCCATGAACTGCGGTCTTTATCCTTTGCTTATTTTTCTCTTAGATTTTTTTTATCACTTATCAATTCTAGGACTTTTATGAATTAGGAAGGCTTAGCTCCTATCTGTGATATGAGTTGTATGTATGTTTCCCAGTGTGTCACTGGTCTTGGGGTTTTGCTATGGTGGTATTCCTGCACAGGAGTTTTTCATTGAATGCATTGGTCTTTTCCTTACTCATTCTGCACTGTGAGTCATTGAAAGCCCTTATCCACTCCTCACTTACAAGGGAATTTTCTTCTGTTTTCTTTTAGTGTTTTATAGGTTTATTTTTACATTTAAACCATTGATTCTTTTGGAATTTATTCTGGCATTTGATAGGAGGTGTGAATCCAACTTTTTTATTATTTTCTAGAGAGCTATCCAGTTGTGCCGACACTAGTAACTGACGAGCGCTCTCTCCTCCTGCTTTAGATGCTTATTTCAGGAGTCGAAATCCCCAGCTGAGTCTGCGACTGTTCAGGTGCCAGAGCCTTAACTGCAGAGGCTTCAGAACAGGTTTCAGTGCCTGGCAGGGCTGCTCTCCCCCTCGCTGTTCTTTTTCAGTTTCCTGGGCTTAGACGCATGTATTGTTTTCACATGAACTTCAGGATAAGCTTGCAGTGTTAAGAATGAAACTTATTTTGATTGATTGATTGAAATTAGATTATTGGGCTATCATGGGTCAACAACATCATATAGGTTTCTGGTGTACAGCTTTATAATACTGCATCTGTATACCCCATTGTGTGCTTCCCACCCAAAGTCTACTTTCTTTTTGTCACCATATATTTTACCTCCTTTGGCCTTCCCTTTTCCTTATGTTTTTATGAGAATTACTATAAATGATAAATTTACTTAGGGACATTGGTAGGAATGCCTTTCTCTTTGTTGGAGTCTGCTTTTTTGTCCTCCAAAAGTGTATTCACGTTTTCTTCCTAAGGTCCTAGACCCTTCTCATTCTGTATTTCATCTTGTTACTATTATCAATGCGAACTTTCTTCCACTGCATTTTCTCACCACTTTCTTCCAGTTTCTGCTTGATTTTGGATGACTGTGTGACTGCCCACTAGACAGGAAACAATGAGGTTTTTAATCACCATGATGTCCTAGTGCCTGGAACTGTGTCTGGCAAAAGGTGGGTGCTGGTCAGCAGTAAGTGAATGAGTGGACCCACTGAAGGGGGTGCTATTTAGACAGAGAAGACACTTTCTCCACCAGGGGCTGGTGTCCCCCCAAAGCTTAGGCCAGTGATGGCGAACCTTTTGAGCTCGGCGTGTCAGCATTTTGAAAAACCCTAACTTAACTCTAGTGCCGTGTCACATATAGAAATTTTTTGATATTTGCAACCATAGTAAAACAAAGACTTATATTTTTGATATTTATTTTATATATTTAAATGCCATTTAACAAAGAAAAATCAACCAAAAAAATGAGTTCGCGTGTCACCTCTGACGCGCGTGTCATAGGTTCGCCATCACTGGCTTAGGCTGTTAACTTGCCAGTGGGGGCCCAGAGCTATTGCTGTCCTTTTCCTCCCCTATTTGCTGAGCCCTGACAATGTGATGAGCCCTTGCCAGGGGCTTTGGGACATATAGATGGATGCCCCATACAACTCCAGATCAGGCTTGGCCTTCACCAGCCAGGCACAGGTACAGGTTCAGGCTTGGAAATTAGTACCAATTCTGGCCTGTCTGCCATCAGCTGTCTGAGGTTGGGCAAATGCCTTCACCTCCCTGAGCTGAGCCTCTGTTAAAATGAGGCTGATAATAATGCCTACTTTACAGGGATTATAAAGATGGATTATAGGATGTGTGTAGGATACTCGGCCCAAGGCCTGGCACTCAGGATATGCTCAGTGAACATTGGCTATTATTGCAGTTTCTGGGCCCCTGATTACTGCCCCAAGAGCAATTCCCAACCTTGGAGTTGACCCTTGAACAATACCGTTTGAACCACGAGTCAATTGAAAAATAATCCGCGTATAAGTGGATCCACGCAGTTCGTGCCGTGTTGCTCAAGGGTCCATTGCAATGACTGAGCTTGCCGAGAGCAGCGTGTACTGTCTCAGAGGCTATCTGGATTCTTCTCAGGATCCGTCGGGTGTCCTTGAGCAAGTCCCACCCCCACGACAGGCCTCCTGGTGCTCATCTGCAAAACGAGGAGGTTGGACTCGAAAGATCCCAGGTCTGCCTCCCCGAGCCCTAATGTTCTGTGTTTCTAACGTAGATAATTCTGGGCCCCACTGGCCGAGCATGTTACGGTGATCTCTTGAGAAGATGGATGTTTGGCGCTATCACAGTGTTAAAATAGAACAGGCCTCTGAATCGTAGCCAGGACATAATGAATCCCATTTCCATAAAACAGCGATGATGACGAGACCAGCCGTGTAGTGGGCTTTGTTGACGTGGCTGGCCCATTTGGCCCATTATCCTCGGCAACAAATATAAATGTGAGACTCTGGCAAAGTAGTTCAATGTGACGCCTGAGGAACTTCCGAGTGAAGCCAGGTGTGTGAGTCACCGCGTTGGTCTCACATTCTCTCCGGCTGATGGGACTGAGGCTCCAATTTATATTTGTGTTGGTTCCATGGGTGGGACTTCCTTCCAGACACCTGTCCAGGTTCCAGACTGTCAGAGTCAGGAGGGTATTTGGGACCACTTAGTGGAAGGCCTCACTTTATAGATGGGGACCCCAACGACTAGAGGGGAAGAGCTTTGCTCAGGACTTGCAGCTGGTGAGCAGGGGTCCATAGAAGCTTCCAGGCCCTTCTTCACTTCTCTGAGGCTGAGATTGCACACCCCTACTGGTGTCTACCTGCCCCTGCAGGTCTGGCCATTTCTCTCTTCCCAGGTTCCCCTGCCAGCCTGTCTGGTTCCCTTCCCTAGAAGGTGTGTTTGACAATCCAGGACTTTGTCCGATGGGCTACGGAGTTTGGCATTTATCCCAAGGGGCAAGAGGGAACCATCAAAGGTGACATTATGACTAGAAGGTGACATTATGACTAAGTGCTCGCAGGAGTGAGGTGGTGGGAACATGGAGGCAAGAGGAGGAAATACAAAGGGCCATGCTCTCAAACAACGGACAGTCTTCTTGGAATGGCCATCAGGTTCTGAGCAGGGGAGTGGCCTGACAGGATGTGTCCCAGGTGAAACGGAGAGAAGTAGATGGCGACCGGGAGGAGGCGGTCCCTAAACCCTGTGAGAGACGGTGGGGCCTGAACCAGGGCTGCGCAGCGGGAAAGGGGAGGCTTTCGTTACAGCCGGAGTCACAGGACTTGGTCACTGACTGGACCTGGAGGAGGGGACCGTGAGGAAAAGGGGGCTGACGGTTACAGCCTGTGACTACTGCCATGGGTCCTGAGGTGTCCCTAGGGGACAGCACAGCCTCATGTGCAGGTGCCTGTGTCCTCCCCTTGTGCCCCCTCCCCAGGAGAGCCGAGGGACCAGGGGTGGTCCTGTTGCCGAGGAGCATGTGCGTGCTCACAGAAAGATTGTCTATGCATACGTTTAATCACCATTTTTTTACCTGAAAAATGCCTTAGAGGCCAGCTTGTCTGTAGTGAACAAAGAGAGACAAGAGAAGAGTGGGTAGAGAGTTTGTGACCATGACCCAGGTCTCCCCATGCCTGTAACCCTGCCTTATACTTACTAGTTCCTGTTTTGGGGGAAAGTACAAAAGGAATAAAGATACGGCCCCTTTTCTTGAGGAGTTTTTAGTTCAATTGAAGGGACAAGAAGAAATAGGAAGTCAGCAGGAAGGAGTACCACAGCCATGGGGAAAATAGATGGGAAGTTTCAGAACTGGGAGTTCAGAGTAGGCCCTAGTAATCTAGGAAGGCTTCCTGGAGGAGTTGCTAGGCCTAGAAGGTGAGAGAGAATGGGAAAGGAAGATAAAAACAGCACAGGGAACTGCATGTGCAAAGATGCAGAGGTAGGTATCTAGGGATTCCTAGGGGCATCTAGACCACCTCCCAGGGATTCAGTTGCTGGGTCTTGTGGGAACTTAGTTCCTTTGTTAGCTCCTGCAGCTTGAGGGAATAGTGCAGGGTGACAGAGGAACTAATGGACTGGGAGGTGTTTCCCAAGACCCAGCTCCTCTCCCCAGTGGACCTTTCCCTGGAAAGGGGTGTCCATCAAGCCCCACCCCACTCCCGCCTATTGTTAGTCTCTGTGTTTCTTATCTGGCAGGCCCAGTTGGGAAGCGGGTCTCCAGCTGCAGGACCTAGTTTGGGGCTTGGGAAGCTCTGTCCCTGAGGGCTAAGGGGTAGTGGCGGTGCAGGAGGCAGAAAAGCTAGTTCCTGCTGGACGGAGCTGCTCAGCCAAAACCAAGGAACCCAGGGAGAGCCAGAGCCCACAGCCCAGCTCCTGGCCAACTACCTCCTCAACTCACCTGTGTTCTGGGCTGTCCCCGTCCCTGGGGTGTGGTCCGAGCAGAGCCTCCCCAGACTAAGGCTTCTGCCCGCTTTCCATGGGAGAGCCTGGCCCTGCCCTGCTCCAGGGCACTCAGACCTGAAACCTTTCACTAAGCTTCAGCACCAGGTGGGGAGAAAGGAGAGAAAGGAAAGGGAACTGGGACCCAGGGCCAGCTTAGCCCAGCCAGACAGGAGCCAAAGGGTTAACAAAAGCAGCAGTGCTGATAAAATGCCCCAAATTCCTGGTCTTGCCTCCAATGGGGAGTGCGTCTGGCAAATGTCAACGATAAAAAAATACATTTTAATGGCACATGATGCAGCCGCTACCGTGGGGCGCAGTCCAACGAAGCAGGTTTTGAGCAGCCACTACTGTGTGTTACTCCAAGCACCAGGGCCACGCCTCCTAGTCTCTTTCATAAGCTTTGGCCATGAGGGTGACCCACCGCCCCAGCCCCAGGCACCTCGGGCCCCTGGCCTCCTCTGGCTTATTTTAGGAACTTAGTTTGTCTCCTACCTTGGTACCAAGCCTGGGATGGAGCTTCCCTCTAAGCTGTGAGCAGCCTCAGGCAGGTCTCAGGATAGGATACAGCTGAGTCTCCCAACTACCCCCAGCAGGCCTCTGTGAAGGCTGAGAATGAATGAACAAAGGAGTCACTAGATGACAAAGGTCAGAGTGCAACATTCTCTTCAGCTCCCTCCCTCCCCCATTCCACAGACTCCTGGGCTGGGAAGTTGCTTTTGTTGCTGACAAATGTGAGGAGGGGGCTCAGCCCCGACAGTGAGCATTACTGGGGAAGGCTGGTCACACATAAGTGGGAGGGAGGGAGGGAGGGAGGGGGCAGGGAGGCGAAGAGGCAGGAGAAAAGAAGGAGAAGCAAGGGGAAGAGTCAGCCTATAGGGGAACATTGAAGGAGGTAAGTTATGTATTATGATCCCATTTTACAGATATGAAAACTGGGGCTCAGAGACGTCCAGTTACTTGTCTGAGGTCAGACAGTGAGACAGTGGCAACCTGGACTTTTGTCTATAACTCAGAATTCCACCTACTACACTGCTGAGTTCCCTGGGGACTTTAAACTGCTAAGTTCTCGGTTGCCACAGTGAAGCCATCTAACATAGGGAGGTCCTGGGACCAGGCATAGGTGCTGGAGCACAGAGGCCAAGTAGGAGCCCAGGGGCCTCGTCCTTCACGTGGGAACTTTAGGACCTTTCTGGGCTCAGTCCTGTAGTCAGGCGCTGGGGCCTGGGCTTTTAGGAGATGAAAGCCAGTCCAGGGCCAGCTGAAGAGGCCAAGGGCCAGCAGGTGGGGACCTGGAGCTCAGAATGAGACCCTTGTCTTCCAGATCATCCTCAACTCCATGCACAAGTACCAGCCGCGGCTACACATCGTGAAGGCTGATGAGAACAACGCGTTTGGCTCCAAAAACACAGCTTTCTGCACCCACGTGTTTCCAGAGACGTCCTTCATCTCCGTGACCTCCTACCAGAATCACAAGGTACAGCTGCAGTTGCCACCACTCCACCACCGACACCATGTGGCATTCGTGTTGGCCTTCACAGAGAGGCAGGAAGTGCAGCTTTGGAGGCAGTGAGGTGGAGGCAGGCCCAGTGCAGGGAGAGGCATAACGAGCAGGAAGGGAGACCAGACTCCTAAACCTCTGTGCAAAGGAATTATGCTCTCTATTTAGGGTTCAGGGTTGGCAACTGTAAAAACTGGAGCGTGGCGCTTGCCCTGTGGCATCAGTATTAGGACCCTGGTGGGATTCAAAGGTCGAATGCTGGGCCTGCAGAGAGTGGGGGGTGGGGGTGGGGGAGCCCTGGGGCCCTGTCAGCTGTAGTCAGAAGGCTGCCTCCCACTACTCACCCTCCCTCCCCAGCCCAACCAAACTGCTTCCGATCCCTGCATGGGTCACACTCTGGCCCCTCTGCCTGTGCTACCCTCTTCAGCGTGCTTTTCACATTGTGTGCACTGGATTGGTGAGGGGTCAAGGGTCACTGCAGAGGGACCACGGCTGTGGTGGACTTTAGGCAGAGAGTGACAGAGGCAGATTTGCATCTAGAACAGTCCTTGGAAACTTGATGTGGCAGTTGTACTGGACAGGGGTGACAGGGACAGGAAGCTGTCACAGGCACCGGGGGAGAATGATGAGGGATTGAGCCAGGAGCACAGTGAGAGCAGAAGACAGATGTGGAGGGTCTGTAGCGAGTAGGGTGGATAAGAGCCAGTGACAAGATGTTCAGGGTGAGGCCAAGGAGGACCCAGCAGGACTGGGTCCAGGGCTGGGTGGGCAACTTCCCCAAACCCTGCCATGAATTCTGAATGTGCCTGGGGCAGGAGGAGGGCCAAGGCCAGCCCAGTCCTCTACCCTAGCACCTCTGTTGTGTATCCTCTCCTGACAGATCACACAGCTGAAAATTGAGAACAACCCTTTTGCCAAGGGATTCCGGGGTAGTGACGACAGTGACCTGCGTGTGGCCCGGCTGCAGAGGTGGGGGTTCCCAGGGGGTGGGATGGGCAGCCTGGGTTCAGGTACGTGGACTCGGTAACCCTCAAAGTACGTTCACTCTTTCCTGTCTCCCTCTGACTGTCCTCCCCGCTGCTCCAGCAAAGAATACCCCGTGATCTCCAAAAGCATCATGAGGCAGAGGCTCGTCTCCACCCAGCTGGCGGCCAAGCCCGACGTCAGCCCCCTGCATGGCCCCCACCAGGCGCTGCAGCACTACCAGTACGAGAACGGGGCTCACATGCAGTTTGCTGGGGCCGAGCCACAGGACCTTCCCCTCAACACCTTCCCGGCCCAGAGGGATTCGAGCCTCTTCTATCACTGCTTGAAAAGACGAGGTAGCTCTCGCTGGTGTGGAAGCCCTAGAGGGTCAGTGGAGGGGTGCAGCTCACCTTGCACACACTCCCCACTACACATGGGAGCATGCATAGATGCACACCTGTGCGCATGTGCACGCGCACACACACGCACACATGGGAGAGCAAACTGAAGGGTTAGGAACCATGGCTGGGCTCAGCGCAGGGATGTTGGTTCTTGCTTTTAATGCAACCTTCAGAATCCTCACAGATAGCTCATGGCCTTGGTGTCCCCAGACACTGGTACCCCTCCCCAACTCCAGGTGTTGCTTTGCAGCCAATGCTTTGAGAGCCTCCACAGGGTGAGCAGACAGCACGAAACCTGCTGGACTCTGCCTCTGAGCAGGGGCGGAGGCTGAGGGGTCACAGTGCAGAGGTTTTGAATTGGGGCTGTCATTCATCAAAGCAACCTCAATCCTAGAACAGGGTCAACCTCGTTCTAGGGCTGCAGGCTCTCTGCCTCGTCACACCAGGACTTGCAAAGGCTTCTTGAGAATGGAGATGAGCTACTGTGGATGTAGACTTGGGCCAGGACCACAGGCAACAGCACTGTGTGTGCTGAGCCCTGAGCCAGAACCAGCACATCTGTGCTCTGTCTGGTGCCAGGTCTCATCTATAAACCTATAGATTCCTTCATCTATAAACGAGGGGCGATTAGTGCTATTATACCAGAAAACTTCATGGGGTCACTGAAATTCTCTTGGAAATGAGTTTGGGGACTTTTGCTTGCAATCTAGAATGTTCTCTCAGCCCAGCTCGTAGGGACCAGTGGGCAGAGCTCTGGTACCAGTCCCATTAGATCTAAGGACCTAGACCAGGGGTTGGCAAACTGTGGCCCTTGGACTAAATTTGGCCTGCTGCCTGTTTTTATTTGTGTCTGTGAACCATACAAAACGGTTTTTACATTTTTTAATAGTTGAAAAAAATCAAAAGACTATTTCATGATATGCGGACATCATATGAAACGCAAATGTTAGCACCGTAAATAAAGCTGTATTGGAGCACAGCCATGCACATTTACTTACCCGCTGTCTGTGGCTGCTTTCATGTGACGACAGCAGAGCTGCGAACAGCGAGTCCTGGCTTAACATCGTCCACAGGCTCTGCGACTTCAAGCAACACTAAGCATGACAAAACCAGCGTTACCATAGGCTAATTGATATAAACAAGAGCTAAGTTCCTACAGCATATTTCTGGTCATGAAAACACCATCAAACTTCTAGATAAAGATGCCAAACACTTCAACATTAAATATTGAAATAAATGTGAACTATATGTACATTTAGGAAAGATTAATTTAAAAAGGTAAGACAATGATTTTGCAACCTTATTCCAGTTCAGGGTGGCAGGTGGCTGGAGCCTGTCCTGGTAGCTCAGAGCACAAGGCAAACCCACTCTCACTCAGACAGGGACAACGTAGACAGGCCAACTCACCCATGTCCTCATCTTTGGGATGCGAGAGGAAACCGGAGTACCAGAGAAAACCCACGCAGACATGGGGAGAACCTGCCAACTCCACACAGTGGCCCTGGCCCAGAATTGGTTATTTTTCCTCATCAACATTATAATGAAATGATGTTGAATGAAACAACATTATTCATAGACCTATTGTAGTGGCGACAGATTCCACATGGCCCACAGAGCCTAAAATATTTACTATCTGGCCCTTTACAGAACAGTTTGCTCACTACTGACCTAGAGTGACTGGGCCACTTTCCAAGTTCAAGAGCTTAGTGCGTTCGAGAGAAAGGAGGAATCTGGAGAGAAGATGGAGAGGAGGGATGAGTGAGGGGTGAAGGAGAGAGCTGGGTAAGAGAGAGGGGCAAGTGCCTCATCAGGAAGATGCCTCTACCTGGGGCAGAGGTGGGAGCAGGCCTTCAAACATGGCCCACTCCCCAGCCCACCCTGCCCTGTGCACACACTCCCAGAGTGGATCTCTAGAGAAAACAGGAGGAGGTGAGCCAAGATAAGCCACAGGACAAGCGTTCTTAAGTTTGTCAAGTGGGCTGTTGCCCAAGTCCTGGGCCTGGGTCATCCCTGGATTCCAGGAGGGGACGTGCCACTCCAGAGTCAAGTCCTCATGGTTGAGGATGGTTTGGGACAGTTAAGGTTATCTTTTCCCAGAGTATTAGCTTAGGCTCAAAAGTAGTCACCTTTTACTTATTTATTATCAGCTCCATTTCTTAATTTTGTAAACAATGTTATCTTGGAATCTGTGTAATGACAATTTCCTCTTCTGAAAGCAGCAGGAACATGCCTGCAGGTAACTTGGGCTTCCTAAAGGCCTTCCTGGGAGCTGAGGATTGAGGCAGAAATGCTGTGGCTTGTATTTCCTGGCTCATTCACACAGATGTGGCCTCTGGGCCTGGTTTGGTCTGGCAATTGTGTCTACTTTCCTTGGCCAGGGTGGGTCTAGTCTAAGAATGCCAGCACACATTAAGGCCTCTTCCCAGCCCCGAGAGTCAAGGCAAAGGATCAAAGCTGAGGGCCTCCTGGCTAAACACACAACTCAGTGCCCAGTGATGGAGTGTCCCTGTGCCTGTGGGCAAGGTCCACAATCTCACCATTTCTCGGCTGCTGCCACCTTATAAAAGCTGTTGCTGATTAAAGTGGTTTTGGGAGTGCCATGGCAACACAGGACAAGGGTGGGCCCTGAATGACAAAGGTAGGCTTATCCTGGCCTCCAGCCGGGGTGCTCTGACCCATGGGCTGGTGGGAATGGCTCTTCCTGAAGGTTTCTTTGTCTTCCAGCAGACAATGCCCGCCACCTGGACCTACCCTGCAAGCGCTCCTACCTGGAAGCCCCCTCTGCGGTGGGGGAGGATCATTACTTCCGTTCGCCCCCTCCCTACGACCAACAGATGCTGAGCCCCTCCTATTGCAGCGAGGTGACCCCAAGAGAAGCCTGTATGTACTCGGGTTCAGGGCCTGAGATTGCCGGGGTGTCTGGGGTGGACGACTTGCCCCCACCCCCCCTGAGCTGTAACATGTGGACGTCAGTCTCTCCGTACACGAGCTACAGCGTTCAGACAATGGAGACTGTGCCTTACCAGTCCTTCCCCACGCACTTCACCACCACCACTATGATGCCTCGGCTGCCCACTATCTCCGCTCAGGGCACCCAGCCACCAGGAAACACCCACTTCAGTGTCTACAATCAGCTCTCCCAGGCTCAGGGCCGAGAGCGGGGGCCCACCGCCGCCTTCCCGAGGGAGCGAGGCCTCCCCGCGGTGTGTGAGAGGAAGCCACCCTCTCCACACCTGAACGCTGCCAACGAGTTTCTCTACTCTCAGAGCTTCTCCCTATCCCGGGAAGCTTCCGTACAGTACCACCCAGGAATGGGGACTGTGGAGAACTGGACTGACGGATGACTCCCAGGTCCCTCGACAGCCCCAGGACCATGTTGACCCAGCACTGACCTCTGTGGGTGGCCTGCACTACCAAGAAACATAGGAAGGTAGTTAAAGGGTGGGCTGTGTGCATGTGTGTGTGTGTGTGCACATGCATTTGGAGAGCCTTGATCTTCTGCCATACAATTGAGGCCATGACAAGGAACAAAACACAACTGTCTATGATGTGCTTTTGGCTGTAGGACCTGGGTCCTTTGTTATCTGGCATCTCTTGAACATGCCCACAGGTGGGATGGAAGTGGGGAGTTCATGTGAAATATTTAGAGATTTTATAATATAATATTTGACTTACTCAGGGCCAGGTGATGAGGTCCCTCCCACAGAAAGGTGGGGGAGGATTCTCTTCACTGGGGTGGGAGGGCTCTGTGCACACCTTAGTGGTCCTGGCCTTCTCTTTGCAAGGGGGGCTGAGAACCTCTGGCCCACTCCCTTGGCTTCTGAAGGTTCTATGACCCGACCCAAGAGGTGGGCTCAGCTAAGCCACAGAGCACACCCTTAGTGGAGCTGGCTGCCCAGTGAGTGGCCTGGAAATTCATCCCTGAGCTATGAGGGCTGATCTTCAGAGAGGGTCATGTGCTAAGTGCCACCTGATGGGTATGAAAAAAACTTTTTTTTTCCTTTAAGAGGAGGGAAAATGCAACCTATGGCATCTCTGTCATCATTCAGGGTTTCTTATAAAGCGCAAAGCCCTTCCCCCTGGGTCCCCAAGGCACAAGCTCTCACTCCCTCTGTTGTGCAAGACTCAGCCTCTCAGGCCCCATCTGCATCCTGTGGCTGGCAATTATGAAACACACTTCACCTGGCAGCGTCCCCAGGAGACTGCGCTGGGGCTGCTGCCAGGCATCTACGGAGCCTGTTCTGCTCCCAGAAAATCCGTGCCTCTGGAGCAGGAAAGCCCAACAGAAATAAAAACGAGAATCGAGAAAACATTCACTTCTTCCAGTAAATTCAGCCAGTGCGCTCAGAGGAGCAAGGACCATTCTTCTGCAGTGAGGTGGGTCCGAGTCCTCAGCCCCGCTCTTTAGCATTGAACATCACCAGACCATCCACGCGGCTGGTGCAAACTCTGTAATCCAAGTTGGGAAATCTCTAAACTCTTTGCATGCTGAATAGCTATTTATATATTATATAAATAAATAAAGAAATATATATATATATATATCTCTCACAAATGCAGGCCACATGTCAAATTCAGCTTTGCTCTTTACAAATGAATAAACTTAAAAAAAAAAAAGAAATGTTGGAGGGGGTATTTGGAAAGACATCTATTTAAATTTTTATTACACACTTGATGTTAAAAAAACTAAGAATGGTTTAGAAAAACATATAAATAAATGAATAAATAAATAAATATATATATATATATATAAACACACACAGTACAGATTAAATTTTATTAGCAGACACATTAGCTAACAGGGGATATGGAACCTCAAGTGTTTTGTTATATAGCATGGACATTTTATTTTGCATATCGGAACATAAAGCCATTTTACAACTGTGAAGTGTGTGGATGCCCTTTACTCCTTCCTGACTTGTCATTTCTTGGCTCAGCCATGGTCTCTGCCTCCCTTCTGCTCGCATTTTTTCTCAAGGGCCAGATGCAGCCCTTGGTGCCACTGACCGTTTGTACCATGGAGCCTCTCAGCGTGGAAAGAAGGGTCCACGGAGCCACTGGACCGTGGACTTCATGCTGCTCTTCAGATGATGGGTCTGGGTCCCAGGGCCCACAGAGGCCCCGGAGGGGCAGGGTAGGCAGTGCCCAAGAGGCTGTTCCCTTTTAGTAGCCAACACACAACCTGGTGGTTTGGGGGAGGTGGTCTCCCCTGTAGGGAATCCTTAGTGGGGTTTGTGCAGCTGCTTCAGAAAAGCAGCTTCCATCGGAGACGGAGGCTTTCCGAGCTCACCAGCCACCTGCACCCAGACAGGGGTACCAGTAGGCCTAATGGAGCCCTCCCTCCACTTGCCCACTCCCCAGCCAGATCCCTGAAGCCTGGCCACAGGTGGAGGGGAAAAGGGAGATGAAATCCAGTGCGGAGTCATCCCACTAGATTAGAAGAGACACTGGTGTCGGAAGTGCTGTTGGGTTTCCCTCCTAACTACCCCCTGCCTCTTGCCCTACCCCTCATGGCTCCTTCTCCAAAGCCGCTCACTGTCATCCACCATCTCCAGTGCAGGCTGCTACCTTTCCAATCCCTTCCTCATCGGGATTAGGATGAGATTTCCAGCTGGGCACAAAGTCAACCTTGTCTCCTGTTTCCTCGGAGCCCTGCCCTTGTGGCTCTAGGGTTTCTCCCTGACTGGACTTCTTCCTGCAGGAGGAGGCCAGGCCCCTTCTTCCCTTGCTGTTGGTTCCCACATTTGGCTTGCTGATCACAGAGGAAAACTTAACTTGGTTCAGGGCACAGGGAAGGGGGCTCTTCCTAACTCACACCTGCTCTGCTCTTTTCTTTCTGGGTGAAGACTGCATCCTGGGATACTCTGCACCTTCTAGAATCCAGGCAGAGGGCTGGGAGCCGGCTGTGGGTTCCCAGGCTCACACCAGACACACAGTTGCCTGGGTCCCAGGTAAAGAAAGCTGCTTCTACAGGGGTGTTTTGCCTTTAGGCAGCTCACAGCTTCCTCCCAGCTTTCTGGGAAGCAGGAGGTCCTTGGTCTTCCCCACCTGGGTACGGCTGGAGCAAGGCCTGCAGTGGGATTTGTGGAACTTTCCGGCCCCTCTGAATCAACAAGTCAATAAAAAGGGGGCACATGGGATACCCGGGAACAAAGGGCACTATTCAGTAGCGCCAACAGGCCATACATCATCGGGCCAGAAACCTGCCACATGAAAAGGGTCTGCTTCTGCTGTGCCCTGCCTGGGAAGGAAAAAAAAAAAAAGAACGATGAACATTCATCTGTGAGGCCATCGGCAGGCAGCCCCAGGGCTCTGTTCTCCAGCCCAGGGCCAGGCACCGGGAAAGGCTGGTCCAGGCTCAGCCACCCAACTGCTCTCCCACAGCAGAGGAGCCTGGGATCACAAAAGGGAGAATGAAGAGAGAAGCTGGGTCAGGCTGACAAATTGTTAAAAAACCAAACCAACTTCCAGCCTCTGCTAGGCCTCGGGGGGTCAAGAGGCCTCGGCTGGCCCCACTAATGGAGCCTGCTGGAGGAGCAGCAGCCCCGGCCTCACAGTGTCTTATCTTACAACATAAAATTAAAACCCACTTAAAAGGCCGGAGGGCATGTTAACATTCCCCCTGCTGTCTAATTGAAGTAGTTCCCAGTGCAAAGGATTTCACTTGAAAGATGTCTCCCTCCGAGGCCCAGTCCTCCTGCTTGGCGGGCAGCAGAGGGGGCTGGGAGGGTGGGACTGTCATCTCTAAGACCAGCACCAGCTCAGGCCAGAGAATCCTGTTTGCTGCCACCACCCAGGCGGCAGGTGGCGACAGCGAAGGTTAGAACAGGCTGGGTTGTTCTGTATTTTTAAAAATTTACAAATTCATTAGCAGCTATGTCAGCAGAGGCCAGATCCCTGACAAGAAGCCCCAGTAATGATTCAAATATGGTGAGCTCCGCAGCAAAACCTGGCAGTTCCCGAGGCCAAGGGTTTTCTGTTCTATCCCCCACCAAGGCCCTCCTCCCTCCTATGCAAATCCGTTTCAGGTCTGGGAGGCATACGGAATCAATCAGGGCCATCCTGTAAAGGTGGTGAACTTGCACTGGCCATCCCCAGTAATGGGAACCAGTCAGCCCGAAGCCGGCTGGGACCGAAAGCCAAGGTGACAGCTATTAAGCAATTGTGTGCAGAACAAAATGGCAAAGGGGCCAGGTAATCAATTCAATTTCAATGGGCGACCCAAGCAACTGCAGCGTCTGTCGCAGCTGATTAGAGAGGGCCCGGCTGGAGCTTTCAATGCGAGCCCATCACAGATCAGAAACAGGCCCTGGATGAAAAGGGAAAGAACTGTCTCCTGAGAAGCAGGCGATGAAGGACTCTGTTTTATGTGACTGTGTTCTTCCTTCTCTCCTTGAAGAAAGAGTAGAAAAAAAGCAAGCAGTTGGGAGATTAGATAGTTTTCTTTTCAGCCATTTATCATTATGAAAGAAAGTAGACAGGGCAGGGGCAGAAAACTCTCCAGTGGGATTTCTGCAAAGTCTCACTAAGAAGGCCCAGGTTTACACTCTGCAGCTCCAGCGGCCCCCGCTGATTACCACAGCCTGACGGGGCCTGCAGAGCGTCCAGAGTCCCTCTTCCCTAACAAGGGCAAACAGGCCCCGTGCTCTGAGGATCACAGACATTCTCCTGCAGAAACCCCAAACCACCAAATTGTATCATTTGTGAAAATTAAAGTCTGAGTTAGAATAATGGGGAGAGGAAAAGATGAGACAGAGTTGTGCCAAGTCCCAGTGGGTTAGACCCCGATTGGGGCCCCCATTTGCTTGGGCCCTGCTGTGCTTGCCCCAGGTCAGCAATGCCTGTCTGATGGTGGACCCAAGCAGCCAGCTGGTTCTCTGGTGCAGAGGGTGAGGGAGGCAGAGCAAGGGGGCACCCACAGGCACAGAAGCAGGGAGAGAGACCAGCGATGAGGCTGTGGAGGGGACGGGAGAGGCTTGTGAGCAGATGGCAAAGGGTGCAGAACCAGGAGGGAGAGGGCCACCTTGGAGCCCAGGGCAGGGAAAGAACCACTGGGGCAGGAGGCTTGGGGCTGGGGCAGGGCTGGTGGGGAGGGAGGAAGGGGGACTTAGAAGAGGAGAGCAATGGGTGCCATTATCAGGTCATTTTAGAAGAAGAATTACAAATGGTTGATTAACCTGAACAAACTTAACCTCACTAATAATCTAAATAGCACTTTTGTCTAGAAAATTAACAAACATTTAAGAAAAGATATAGGGAGTCTCTCTCAATCATTGCTGAGTTTGCTATAGTCTTTCTGGAAAAAGCAATTTGGTAGCATGGACAAAGGCTCTAAAAGTGTTCATATCCCAAAGAAAATATCCAGCAATGTGAACACAGCTTAATGCTCTATAATCTTC